CCCACAGGACCTTAAAACCTTCTCCTGCAGGAAAGGTTCTCCCATGCAAAGTTTGGTTGCGGTAGCTCTTATAGTGTCCAAGTTATGAGCACACAAACATACAAACATTCTCCTTTATATATTATAGATTTATTAATAACTTGGGTGCCACAGTGGCCCACATTCCAACAAGTGCACATGGACTCAATACTGGAGCACAAGACAAAATTCACTTTGCTCATGCGTGGAAAATCTTAGAGGGAACCCTGGCAGTGGGTGGAGGTCAGCATGAATTTGTAGAGAGTGGATTGTCAGGCCAGCCTGGTGGCTTTTCTTTGATAGGATGGCAGGCCTTGTGGATGGGGCAGGGGCAGGAAAGTGGTGAGCCTGGTGCACCTGGACTTTGGTAGGTTATTTGATGCGGTCCTACGTGGCCGTCTTGTTGATAAACTGGGGAAATGCTCCTGTGGAGAGGGTGCATGGCTGGTTGGATGGCCATTCCCAGAGAGTGGTTGTGAATAGTTTGCAGTCGTGCTAGGTGGGCATGATTGGTGGGGCTCTACAGGGATCAGTTTTGGGACTGGTTTTGTTCAATGGCTTCTCCAATGGTTTGGATGGTGGCATAGAGAATTCGCTTGTGGAGTTTGTGGATGATGCCCCCGGCTTGCCTGGATCTGGCCCCCGAGGCTCCGGGCCTCTCCCGCAGAGCTTTGGAGAGACCACGCTGGTGCTCCAGCTCCTCAGCTCCTTTGTGGCTCCCTCCACAGGGCTGGAGCACCAGTGCCAGCTCCATGCTGTGGGGGACGGAGCCCCGAGCCTTGCAGGCCAGGGTCAAGCAATCTAGAGCCAGCTCTGACCTACAGGCTCTGCCTGGCAGGGGGAGGAAGTGGCTCTGGTCACTGCCGCTCCTCTTTCCCCTCCCCCCCGGTTGCTGAAGCAAGGTGCTACCTGGAGGCTTTTTCCCCGCTGCTCAGATTGGCCATAATTGTGGCCAATGGGAGCAGCAGGTGGCTGTGCCTGGGAGCAGCAAGGGACATGGAGCCATATATGTCTCTGGGAAGCTGTGCCAGGTAAGTGCCCTCCATCACCCAGACCCCGCACCCTGACTCCTGCATCCCCTTTCTTGCTCATCTCTCCCACCCCAGCCTGCTCCTGCACCTTCCCTCCCGTCCAGACCCCACATTGCAAGCCTGCTTCTTGGCAGTCCCCAGGAAGATCCCACATGTTATGCCCTTCTAGCATGACTGTGAACTGTTGATAAGTGCTCTGTGAGAATGGTTATCTAGCCAGTTATTCACCCACCTTATAGTAGCCCCATCTAGAATGTATTTTCCTAGTTTACTGATAAGAATATAATGCGAGACCATGTCAAATGCCTTACTAAAGTCTAGGTATACCACGTCTACCACTTGTTCCTTATCCACAAGGTTTGTTATCCTAGCAAAGAAAGCTATCAGATTGGTTAGATATGATTTGTTCTTTACAAATCCATGCTGGCTGTTACCTATCAACTTATCTTCCAGATGTTTGCATATTAATTCCTAAATTACCTGCTCCATTATCTTTCTTGGCACAGAATTGAAACTGACTAATCTTGTGGTTTCCTGGGTGGTTCTTACTTTCCTTGTTATAGATGGGCAGTATATTTGCCCTTTTCCAGTGTTCTGGAATCTCTCCTAACTTCCATGACTTTTCAAAGGTGATAGCTAATGGCTCAGATACCTCCTTTGTCAGCTCCTTCAGTATTCTAGGATGCATTTCATCAGACCCTGGTGACTTGCAGACATCTAACTTTTCTAAGTAATTTTTAACTTATTCTTCTTTTGTTTTATCATCTAAACCTACCCCGTTTCCACTAGCATTCACTGTTAGACATTGCTTCATCATCAGAGCCGTGAATTCAAAGCACTGGCCACAATGGCTAATAGGGCATTGTGGGAAACATCCCAGAGTTCAATAAACTCAACAAAAAATGTGCTGTATTACATACTGCGTGATTGTCAATAGTAAAGGAAGATCCAGAGACAAAAGTCACTCACGGAGCTGTAAGGTTTTTGTCGTCAAAATTAGGTGTTTGTCATGACTTTTGTTGTGTTGTGAATGCTCTCTGGCCTGGGTTTTGTCACCAGAAGGGTTTTTTTGGTGACAAAACTTGCTAGTGTAGACAAGGCCTCATTTTATTTTGTTTTTTCCCCATAAGTTTTGTCACCAAGGTGTGGGGCAGTGAGATTTGACTGTCAGCCAGCAGGTCGTGAGGTGTGGGATAGGCGCTAGGCCTGCAGCCCCATTGGCACCCAGCTGTGACTCTCGGCCAACAGGTACAACAGAGGTTTATTACTTGATAGGGACACAGCATAGAACAGACTGGTCAGCACAGGAACTAGGAGCAGTCAATACATCAGGGCCCTGGCTCTTCCCCTACCTCCCCAGCCAGCTAAGACTGACCCCTCCCATATCCTAGTTCCAGTCCCCAACAGCCAGGCCTCAAACCTTTGTGCTCTTTTGCAGGGGAAAAAGGTGTCAGCTGGTCACATGCCCTCCAAGGCTCAGGTTATGCAGGGCCTCAGTTATTGTAGTACAGGCAGTCCCCGGGTTACGTACAAGATAGGGACTGTAGGTTTGTTCTTAAGTTGAATCTGTATGTAAGTCGGAACTGGCGTCCAGATTCAGCCGCTGCTGAAACTGACCAGCAGTGGCTGAATCGGACACGCCTGGGGCAGAGCAGCTGGGGTGCTGCTGGGTTGGTCCCGCAGCGCCG